AGATAAATTACACACACTTATCTGTGATGATCAAGGTTATCCATGAGTTCTCTCTGGGTTCCTCCAATCACTTATTCAGTACACAAATATTTGTTCAAGGACTGTTTCTATCTGAAAATAAAAGGTGAAAATAAAAACAAGACATACCATGCGTAGATGAGTGGAAGCCTATGATTTCCTCACCATGGGGTGCCAGTTAACTGCAGTGATTGCTGGGGAATGCTTAAGGTCATCCCAAAGTTGAGCCTTGGTTTGCGCAATGGTTGCTGTAAATCCTTCTGGCATATTAGTTAACTTCAATTCGATCAGAGACTTTAGGTGCCTCAACCCACTCGGGACCTTCAGATTTGTGCAGGATCTTATCTCAAGCTCTCTGAGACTTTGCATTGCCTTTTCCTCCACATGCCAAACTTCAAGTTTTTCTAGATTCCACAACTTCAACACTACTAGTCGTGGAAAGCCTCCCGCAGAGCAAAGCATCTTGTTACCTGTGTAAGAGTTGGAGTAAAAACAGAGTAACTTAAGGTTAGAGAGTTTCTCTAACTCGGGCATTGGATCATCTGGAAGAAGAGAGGCTGACAAAGTAAGATCAGTGAGGTTTTTGGGGAACTCAGCTACAATGGGAGGAGCTAGCTTTCCAATAAGATTTAGGCTGGACAGATTGATGAGACCAGACAAAGGCATGAAAATTATATAACTGGATTCATCCGTTTCACCAACTGATCTAACTCTCAAAGACTTGAGGCGCTTCAGCTTTCCAATCCATTCGGCTATTAGTTCTTGCTTTATTTTGCCTAACTGGAATGCCAGACCCAATTTTCTGAGGTTGATCAACTTGTCCAACCCATCTTTCAAAGGACTGTCTTTATCAACAAAAACACCCCATAATGTCTGGAGATTCTTCAGGGAATTGCCACCTTGTTGATACACAAATTTGCTTCTGCAACTCTGGTTCAAGTATAGGTGTCGAAGTTTCTGTAGTTTCCATATTGAACTAGGGAGAGCGCGGACATTTGTATGCTTCACATCTAAGGTTTGGAGCTTTAGCAAATCGCCAATGAATGTTGGGATTGATTGAAGGTAAGTCCACCTCAAGCCTAGATACTTCAGGTTGCTTAGTTTCCCAATCGCCTTGGGGAATTCAGGTCTGAATACACGTTCAAGATCAAGAACCTGAAGTGGTCGGAAGCAACCATCTGCAATTACTTTATGAAGAAAGTTACCTATTTCTTCGCCAGGTTTATTTCCTTCTCGAGTATCAAAGGAGAGAATAGAAAGAAGAGGGCTTGCAACTTTTGATAAGCTCTCGCCAACAGTAATTGGAAGATCATTTCTTTTAAAACGAAGAGCAACTCTATGATTTGAACTTGTAGCCTCCAAGCTGCGGACAGGTAGAGAATAGGGTAATCTACACGTCTTGACTTCCCCATTAAGCTTTCGTTCAACAATTTGAATCATGCCCAAACCAATCAACTCCGATAGATACTTTTCTGCAACATCTTCAGAAGTTATAGTGTTATTACCATGCACTCGTACCAAACCTTCTGCCAGCCACAAAGCAATTAGTCTCCTTGCGGGAATTTCAAAGTCCAACGGGAAGAGCTTTAAGTAAGAAAGGCACTTAGACAGATGTTCAGGAAGCAAGTGTTTTATGGAATCTATGGTGTATGTTTGTAACGATGGTGGATCATTCTCTATGATGTCTTCAAGCATCTCTTCTAACTCCTCTACAGCAGTCACATCTTCCCCAGACATTAGATATCCAACACGTAAGATGGCTAGTGGAAAACCCCCACATTTACCTAAAATTTCTTTTGCTAGCATTTCCTCTTTTGGAGAAAAGTGCACCATCTGGGTAAACAATTTCCAGCTCTCTTCTTTGGTTCGCAGTCGAAGTTGGTGAGGAGTATTGTTAAACTTTTTAGCCAAATCACTATGTCGTGTAGTGAATAGAATTCTGCTTCCGCTTGATGTTACTGGAATGAATCCTGCTCTAAGAGTATTCAACTCATCTACTGTGGAGATGTTGTCTAGGACTAAAAGGTACCGCTCCTCATCTACAAGATCATGTACCTCTTGGACCCAAGGCACATTGGACTTCCAGGGTAGAGAAATCCATACACGGCGAGTAAAGTGGCGTGAAACAGCTCCATGATCAAAAATTTTATTTGCTAATGTTGTCTTACCTATGCCCTCAATGCCCAAAATGGGAATAACAGAGTGTTGTTCACTGTTGGTTGTCAGTTGTGCCACCAATGCTTGGATGTCTTCCTCCAAACCGACCACTGAGCTTGACTCTTCCCTCAATTCAATGCCGTATGCTTTTACGCTTCTCACAACAAGACTGATAGTATGCTGGATTCTGTCAATTTCACGGCAAAGCTTTATCCCAGATCTTGTTTTAAATAGATGGTTTGATCTCCTTATAACACATGAGTCGTCTATGAAGGCCTGCACACATTTATCAGCACTTTGAACAATAATCCTCATTTGCTTCAGCCAAGCCACTCTGGAGTTAAATCGGCTTCCAACCATTCCTGCATCGTCTACAAGTTTATACATGCCTTTCAGCTGATTGCATAGCGATGTGACTTCATAAAATACTTCACCCAATGCATCTGACTTGTGATTGAGGTAGCTGTACATCCTGTCGACTAAAGATGTAATAATCTTGTCATCACTGGTATTGTGATGTGGGGATTGATAGACAAACTTCGACGAATCTCTTCTTATAAATTCGAAGCCATATCTTTCCTTCCTCTTTAAAAGTTCTGCAAATCCAGTGCCAATGCACCTCAAGTCCCCCTCGAGCTTTCTTCTTGCCTTCCAACTACTGATTCGGTTTGCAGGCCTCTGTGAGAAGTTGTTGATGGCAAGATCTGCTTCTTGAATAACCTCTTCCACTTCCTTCACCCATGCCCCCTCGATTTCACTTTCGAAAGGAAGTCCTTCTATTTCTTTCAGAAAGGGATGCAGAAGTAGCAATTGCAGTTTTATTGAGTCTATTTGCTCTCCAATACTCTTACGCAGTAATGCTGGGTGTTGGGTGAGGCGGTTTATTGTGTTAACAATAGAGGAAGTCAAAGCAGCTACAGAGGCAATTCGTCCTTTGAAATCCACCCGTTGTTCTTGATCGTGCTCATAAATCGGTCTTTCCAGCAGGCTTCTAATAATAGACCTTGATCTCTCCAGCGATTCACATATGTTAATCCCATGTACCTTCTTCATCGAAATGGTCTCGTTTATGTCATCCTTCACGCGCTTAGTTTCAATGAACAGCCCTTCTATATCCATGAAATTCTTTGTAGTCATTGCAACAAAAGATATCATGTGGGAGTCTCTTCTCTGCTTCTCAAAAGTTTTGAATAGGTCTTTTGCTTTTCGAACCACTGACATGGTTTTGGTCAACCATGCTACCTCAGACTGATCCAATCCTTTTATAGGTACTTCAACAGAGTAAATCCTGGGATCCAAGATTTGTTGTTGTATTGTACCTATATGATCCCTTAAATGCATAACTTTTGCTGCATCCTCTGCAATAGCATCCAGGAGCCTCGATTCTCTTCGAATCCACTTGATGTCTTCCTCTAAGAACATAAACGGCACATGCTTGATGTAGAAGTAGAGTAGCAAAGGGGTCAGAGAGACGAAGAAGAGCACTTGATACATTGATATATGATTTACATAACGGCAAAGAAGGAACACAACAAATATGACAAAAAACCGAGCATTTTTCAGAATGGAATCAATGAATGCAGAGGACTTGGTTACGCTCTCCTTCTTGTATGCCAAACTAGCCATAGACAAAATAATAGCAATATATCGATCATTATCAGAAGCTGGAGCTTCAGTGGGTCTGAGTTGGGCAACAGCTGCTTCTGCATGGTTTCTCTCCATGATCACTTCCCTGCCTGCTTGTCTTAGCAGTTTTGATTAAAGAAAACAAATTGCCCAATTTGCAGTGGGTTCAATTCAAACTTTGTAGAAGTTGGAAAAGTGGTGTTCATGGGTTCAACCATATTTTGGACTGAAGTGGCGTGGAGCTTTAAAATGAAGTTTAGGGAAATTATATTTGAAAAGCATCCGAAACTTTCATAGTGTGAAATGTAATTAACTAAAAACTAAGTCAATGAAGAATAATTTATTACAGAAGTCATTTTATAATGTAGTAATCTGGAAGCTGTTGCAAACACCTTCGGCAGTATGCATGTGCTTTGCATTGTAAAGTGTAAACATTGTTTTCTCGTAAAAATTTGCAAACTCGATTTGACCAGTTGGTCAAGTAATGCTAATGATGGGTTAGAATTGGCTTATTTGTGGACGATTGTCTGGCTGGAACTTGCCGAGAAACGACGTTTTGATTTTATATTTGGTAAATTGGGCTGTAAACAATATGCCTGACTTCAGACCATTATCCTTTGTTCATCTTTTCTTTACAAGAATCTTATACCAGAAATGAAGTAGAGCAGGTAAGTTATTCCGAAGAATGTGAATGTGAAGGTTAAGATCAGAACACTTTACCCATCTTTATATGCTTATCAAAAAGAAAAGAAAAAGAATGAACAAGGTCTCATGTCGTATGTTTGTGTCAATCTAAATTCACATGAGCATTGATGGTTTTTGTTTATGGATAATACATCCATGATATGATTGAGATTACAAGGCTAAAGTTCAAATGTACCTGTAAAAACGAATTTGCCGTGACGAACAAAACAAGAATACCAAAAATTTCACGAATTACATATAAACACGTATTTTTATATCACCAAAAATTTCAGTGTCTCCGATACCAAATCAGACCAAAGTGGGTCAAATTAAAGTTAGTGACCAACTGAACTTACTACAAGTGAAATGTGTCTAACAATGAGTTGAGGCAAACACCAGAGGAGCCACACTAAGTTATTAATTGTTCTTCTCAAAACAAGAAAAGAAACTAAAGGAATTAAACACATAATTTCAAAAATTCGGTGTGAATTGTCTCCTATCCGCCTTTTTTTTTTTTACTCCACAATTAGTTTTGCCCTTGCATGGCCCTCTGAAATTTGGAACTGTTCAGTTAAACCCAGATGTGCCATAAGAAGCCAGACATGGGTGAGCAGCTCTCCTCCTCGCCTGAGCTGCTGGGCATGACCACTCCATCGACACTGATTGGCAGCGTAAGAGAGCATTTCCACCCACACATGACTTACAAACTTCCACTTTCTCTCATTACTCCATCCTCTATCTGATTCCAGGGACTGCAAAGCTTTAGCAAGCCTGCATGCATCAAATAGAACTGACTTGCTTCTATCTCCTTTCACTTTAGATGGAAGGATGTCTGTGCACACGTCCAGTAGCTTTGTGCATGCTTTCCTTTCACCCGATTTCATTATTTTCTTTTCCTTGAAAAATTCTTCAGCCTCGGCACATGTGTCTCTAAACCTTATCTGTCCAATCCCATTTGGTAGCATGAAGGGGCACATGACTAAAAGATACATCATGTAGTTCGATAACAGCTTACTGTCTTCACAGTTTTCACTAGGAACCAAGTTTGAGTTTCGATTCACATCAGAATAATAACATAGATCTGTTGCAATATGCCAGAGAAGGATGCTTTGATCAAACTCAACCTCATTGATGGTCCAGCCAAGTTCCTTTAGACAATGTGCTTTTTGAAGCACCTGGTCACCCCTTCGAGCACATAATTGTTTTCTTTTGCTAGCCTCAACATTGGAACCAATCCTTGATTTCTCTTGGAGCTGCTCAAATATCAACTCCTTCAACTCAGTGGGGATATCCGCCAACTCTTTGTATCGATACTTCTCTAACAACTGATAAATGAATAAGAACTTCTGGACAGAAATGCATTTCGTTGGCTTAGCCTTAAGACAAAATGTGATGAGGTTGTATTGTCCCAAGGTATTAGACCACCTCTTGTTATAACCCAAAGGGACTGACGAAACGGCACTGCGCAAGAGAACCAAGAGACGTGCCACCATATTTTTGTGCTTATTCAGCCATAGCCTTGTCCTGTCTGAGGAAAGCAGCAATGCTACAGCATAAGATTCTAGGACGATTGCTCCTATCAACAATATATATGTGATAATTACATCTACTCCACTGTAAGCTTGCTTCTTTGAGAACAGGAAGGCTATGAATACAGAAAGTGTTATAGAAACAGTAACACCGCGGAGAATGCAACCCAGACCAGAAGAAACCAGAACTGACTTAGTATAAAAGGCATCATACATGAATCCTAGCTCAAACTCAATAACTTCGAAAGCTTGATCGGAGTTCGTATTTTCTAAGAAGGAGTGGCTGAGTACTATATCATGGAAGCTGAGGATGAGATCAGCACAAAGCAGTTTGAATGTTTCAAAGAAGTCGTAGGCTTTGTCTAACATTGCCACATTTTGGGTACCGTCATCAACTGCATCAACTAGTGAGTTATCCCTTCCTAGTTCAACTGAGTTAACCCTGAAGCCCTGGGCTCTCTTTGAACAATATTCTTCCATGTATCTAGCATAATTGGGACCTGGGTCAGGATCATGAAGCATAGAATCTCTAAAATGCTCACTGCTTGCCGATCTTAGAACCCAAGTCCTCTCCCCAAACTTAATCATCCCAACTATGAACATTGGTATTGCCAAAAAATTTAACTCTTTACTGGACCATGCTCTGAAAGAGACATATAAAGCTACAACCACCTGGACAAATAGCCCAAGCAAGTGCCTAAGCCACAACTCATTGTCTTCTAAAGAGTAAGCAGTGATAGTATCTGGGCCACCAAGATGTAAGAGAAGAAAGGGTGCCCAAAATGCGGTTATTACAACTTTCGGGTTTACGGAATCACCTTGAGATTCTTCTTGGTTGCTGGAGAGTATGCCAAGTGCTACTGTTGCAACTGAGTCAGCTGACAGGTAAGAGAGCCACAGAAGAATTCTGAGTTTGTTACTGGTTGAATGTTTTCTCCAGTTGCCAATCAGGATGAGGATAATTTGCAAGGCAAGACTGGCTAGAACCATACCCCGAAGCTCCCACTCGTTCCAAAGTTTTCTCAAACTTTCAGGGATAAGTTGCATTGTCTTCCGCTGGTTTGTGAAGATCAAACTGCTAACAACTGGAAAAGCAAGTTTTTATTTTTCTTTCTTTTCAAAACATCAGAACGTATCAAACAAAGCATTAATTTTAAGTTTGTAAACTCAATGTAGGACAGTTAACTCTTCTTCAAGCGTAAAAATGAAGTGACTAACAAAAAGGAGGAGCAAATGAATTAGCATTGTTACCTGTGATTAACATGATTCCTCTCTTTTTAAGGAATTGAAACGCAGCAGAAAAGCAGCAAGACTTGCGGTTTCTGCTTGTTTAGTTTTCAGGCCGTATATGGTGGTTCCAGAGAGAGTAAGGTCTCTAACATCTTACACTTGGAAGTTAAGACTGGCAAATTTTCTATCTTGCACTTGTTTAAGTGAACCATCCAATACTAAGCAATGACTTGGCATCAACAAGAATCAATCTCTTCCTGGGATTCTCTTCTGTCAATCAAGACCATATTTCAAGTTTATACAATAAACATACAATTCAAAATCACATCTCATTGACCAAGAAAACGCCAAAAAAGAAAAACACCATTCGACAATGTCCTAGGTTAGAGAGTACACATCCAAGACAGAAACAAAATTGGGCAGTGTCGTGTTAAAGACAAAAACCCACTTGTAGTTGGATGGCACTTATTGAAATCAAGCCAGATTACTACATATGACTTGACTTATAGTTGGGAACTTAGGAATCTTGGACAAATAACATAAACAAACTATTCAATACTAAAATATGGATTTGGCATGAAAATTTATCAAGGAAACGACTCCAAATTCAATAAAATGTCAGAGTTCACGCATGTAAGACTAGATCAAACCTTTATTTTAATAATATTTTAATGTTCACCAGTTGCAGCAATCAAGTTTCTAATTAAAAATTCATGTCTCTCTAATTAAGCATTTTCAATGGCAATTTGTGTGATATTCTATCTTCTGCTCCTCTCTCATCTGCCTGTCTATTTTGAATTTGCTTCGTCAACATTTCATGAACTATACTCATGTCCTTTGAAGTCTGTGGAATAATGGCCTTGCAATGGCAATTTATATTTGTAGGACAATCTGTGAGGACCAGACAAGGTGATGCTGCTGCATGCCCAGCCTGAAGAGGTATGTTTGTAGAAGTAAGCAGGAGCTTGATTTTTATGGACTGTTTCTTTTTTTTCTAAGAAGAGTTTTTCTTTTATTGACTCACACTTGAACATTATTAAGCAATTGAAATCTTATTTTCCAATACAAAAAACAAAAAACAAAAAACAAAGAAAACCAATTGAAATCTATGTATCAGTTTATCCGGATATGTATATATACATACATATATATATCCAAAATCCTGCATATGCCCGCTTATATATAGTGACTGATTTGCACTATTTTTTGTTCTAACCATTTCAAGTACTTCACCATTTTGTGGTCATTGTTGCCTTCGTTCCCTTGTTGCAGTTTTCTTTGTCATCAGGTGAACAATTTTATCTGGTGCGTTCATATTATGGCAATGACTTATGAATTCATTTTATTTTAAGGTTCTTTTTATTTTTCAATTAAAGAGTAACTCCTTAGTTTGCTTGATTTTTTGAACATTTTAATGTTCTGCATTGATTCTGCAAATTTTCGCCTAATTAATTCATCAGTCTCCTCTGTTTCATGTCAGTTCTTGCAATTACACACACATATATATATATATATATATATCTGTATCTCAGTTAATATAATAATTCTCTTTTTTTGCAGGTTAGGTGGCTGTAGTTATTTTCCATTTCTTCAGTGCGCAGACACATATGTTACTGTGATGATGAGCAACCCCCATAAACTAGGGGTAGTTGTGGTTGGTGCCCACAATCTTTATCCTGAAGATGATGAAGGTTCATGCAGTGCCTTTGTGGAGCTTAGCTTTGATGGTCTGAGGCTACGCACCACTGTTAAAGAAAAGGACCTAAATCCAGTTTGGAATGAAAGCTTCTACTTCAACATTTCTGAATCGTCCCATCTCGACAAACTTCGACTGGATGCCTATGTCTACCACAGTGTCAAGCCTACCTACTTCAAGACCAAGTCGTTTCTTGGGAAGATTAGAATCCCTGGGGATTCACTTTCCACATATTCTGATGATGTTGCCACAGACTTCCTTCTGGAAAAGCGTGGCATCTTCTCACATGTGAGAGGAGAGCTCACCCTCAAGGTTTATGTTACTGGTCCTGAACCATCAAACATGTCCTCATCCACCCCAATTGCTGCTGCTGTTGCACCCCTCCCAAGTAGGGATCCAGGCCTAGCTCAAGAACAGTTGATGACTCAGGGAATTTCAAATCCTGCTACACGAAATGCGGAGGAAGCTGATACAAGGCACACCTCTCATCGTCTTCCTAATCCAAGTCATCATGAGGACCAACCACGACAACGTCCAGCTGCCCCGCCATTTTCAATCAAGGATGATACCTGTGGCTTTGCACTTAAGGAGACAAGCCCCAACCTTGGAGGTGGACAGGTTGTCGCTGGCCGTTTTATTAACGGACCCAAGACTGCAAGCGCCTATGATCTAGTTGAACGGATGGATATTCTTTATGTAAAGGTCGTTAATGCTCGTGATCTTCCTTCAAGGGGTGTAACAGGCAGTCTTAATCCATTCGTTGAGGTAAAAGCCGGAAACTATCAAGGGACTACAAAGCACTTTGAAAAGCAGAAAAATCCAGTATGGAACCAGGTTTTTGCCTTTTCAAAGGAGAGGATGCAAATGCGTGAATTGGAAGTTTTGATAAAGCACAAGGATCCGAGCCAAGATGATGACATTGTGGGGTACGTAACTTTTCCCCTCCATGAGGTTCCAACAGTAGTCCCACCTGAAAGTCCTCTGGAGCCAAAATGGTACCCGCTTGAGGGGCAGGGATTGAGAAGGATCAAAGGTGAGGTTATGCTCGCAGTCTGGTATGGTACCCAAGCAGACACTGCTTTTTCCGAGGCATGGCATTCTGATGCAGTTCCCTTGAATAGCTCACAGTCACAGATTGACTCCACAGTAATACGCTCAAAGATCTATCAGGCACCAAGGTTGTGGTACGTGCGAGTTAATATAATCGAAGCACAAGACCTGCTTGTAAGGGAGGATGACAATTTGCCAAATGCATTTGTCAAGTTACAGATGGGGAACCAGGTTTTAAGAACAAAACCAGTTCAGGATCAGAACCTAAACCCCATTTGGAATGAAGAATTTTTATTTGTCACTACTGATGACCCCTTTCCATATTTGTTCCTCTCAGTTGAGGATCGTGTGGGTTTTAATGACACCCTTATTGGGAGGGCCTTGATAAAGCTGCATGATGTACAAATGCGTGTCGATGACCGCAGCATTCCTAGCAGGTGGTTTAATCTGGAAAAGTCGTCGGTTACTAATCATCCTGATGATGCAACCTATGAGGTTCTTCAAGAGTCCAACTCCACAGATGACACATTCTCAAGCCGCGTCCATCTCCGGATTTGTATAGAAGGAGGATACCATGTATTCGATGAGTCAGCTTATTACAGTAGTGATTTCCGCCCCACAGCGGAGCAGCTCAGGAGGCCGCCCATTGGGGTTTTAGAGCTCGGAATTCTGGGTGCTGTGGGGATTCAGCCGATTAAAGCACGTGATGATAGGGGCACAGCAGATACATACTGTGTAGCAAAGTACGGTGATAAATGGGTCCGGACAAGAACCATTATTGACAACTTGTCACCAAAATACAATGAACAGTACAACTGGGAGGTTTTTGATCCTGCTACAGTCCTCACCGTAGGGTTATTTGACAATAGCTTGTTGTTCAGCACGGTTCAAGGTGGTTCTACCAGACACCAGTGGATTGGGAGGGTTCGAATTCGCATCTCGACACTAGAAGTAGGCCGGATATACACACACTCATATCCACTGGTGGCTCTGCACCCATCAGGTGTTAAGAAGAGGGGGGAGTTGCATTTGGCAATTCGGTTTTTGTGTCCCTCTCTTCTAAACAGGCTTTACATATACTCACAACCGCTTCTGCCAAAGATGCACTATGTAAGCCCTATCAGTGTTATGGAGCTTGACAGCTTACATTATCAAGCTGTCAACCTAGTTGCTTTATGGCTAGCTCGAGATGAGCTCCCGCTCAGGAAGGAAGTGGTGGAATACATGTGTGATGTCGACTCACATCTTTTTAGCATCCGACGGAGCAAAGCAAATTTCTTCAGGGTTATGTCGACTTTATCAGGATTGGTTGCTCTATTCAAATGGTTTAGTGAAATTTGCATGTGGAAGAATCCTATAATGACGGTGCTTGTCCATGTTCTCTTCTTCATGCTTGTTCGGTTCCCGCAACTAATTTTCCCCACATTTTTTATTTACTTGTTTCTGACTGGGTTATGGAACTTCCGTTTCCGGCCTCTTTATCCTCCCCACATAAGCACAGGCTTGTCATACGCTGAGTTAGTGCACCCCGACGAGCTAGATGAGGAATTTGACACGTTTCCGACCAGTCGGTCTTCGGACATTGTGAGAATGAGATATGATCGCTTGAGGAGTATTGCTGGTAGAATTCAGACTGTAGCTGGTGATGTTGCTGTCTATGGGGAGCGAATTCAGGCACTATTAAGCTGGCGAGATTCGCTAGCTACGGCCCTGTTTGTAACATTCTGCTTTGTAGCTGCCTTAGTTTTCTATTTCACGCCAATCCACGTGGTGGCAGCATTGGCATGGTTGGTTATAATGATGCCTCCAAGGTTTCGCCGCAGCTGGCCTTCAGGACCAATCAACTTCTTCCGCAGGCTGCCTGCTAAGGCTGATATTTTGTTATAATTAGATTACTAATGTTTGTAGCTCTAAGTGCTGAACCATGAATTTAGTTGAGCTTTTCGTATGTCTGCTTTTGGTTGATGAAGCTATATTTGGAAGGTCACGAATCAAAACCCTTTTTTTTTCTGTTTCGTACTCGTTAATTGGTTAGATTTCAGGTTTTACTTTTAGAGTTTTGAGCTATCTT